GGCGGCGGTGGGTGCGAGTCCCGGACCAAGAGGCAGGACATCCCTTTACACCATGCTGTGAACCCGGGAGTAAAGTTTTCCCGAGTTTGGTTTTGGCATCGTGTTGATACCGAGGTAATAACTCTCCTTTGAGAGCAGGAAAGCGAGTTCTGACTCTATCAGGGCGACAAAGGCAACTCCAGCCCCATTAGTGAGAAATTCGAAGCATTTTCTGTGTACCCAGCCAGTGGGCAGGGGATACCTCCGAGAGCTTTTCCTCACCTCCTCCTCTCCACCTCTCTGCACCGCTGCTCCTCCCCAGCGTCCGCCGTGGAAGCCTTTGTCTGATGATGGAGGTCCTTTCTCAGACAAGGCGGAAATTTTTAGAGGTGCCTCTTGCGTGTTTTGTTTGCAGAAATACATATATTTGTAAAATAAGAGCGTGTCTTACTAACTTGGGTTGGTTCACCTGTGCTACCTAATCTCAGTTTAATTATCAGTAAAGTCAAGGCTGTAATTTAGTTTAATTGCCTAAATTAAAGCCTTTGGGTTAAACTTGGGCTGCTAACCTAAATTCAAACCCTACTCATTTTGACCGTAATTTACTATTTCATCCCAAGTTAATGAAGTCCTGCCGGTCACCCTGAGCTTTTTCCACGGGGGACCACGCGGCTTGCAGCCTCCCGGTGCTGCGGGGACAGGGACCTCCGAGAAGACCTCCCGAGCGGGAGGCCGGTGTCCGTGAATCTCATTTCCCGAAGGGACGAATTGATGAATTAGGATGAGCTCCTCAGAAGCTTTCCCATAGGTGGTGCCCCGCGATGGGTGTTGCAGTCCTTTGAGCCTGTTCCCAGCGGTATCTGGAGGCCAGTCAGCTATAACTACTAGATGACTTTGAAGTGTAGGTGTGACCTGCTTTCTCCAGATAATTGTTTTCTGGGCTAGCACAGAGACACTGATGCAGCCCAGGGTTTGGGAATAACTTCGCCTTCATTATTGCCGTTGTTGCCAGATGCTGTGGACAGAGCGGGGACGTCTCCTTTCCCCCCGTGGTTTGGTGCGTCTTGAAAGAGCCTCTGACCTTAGGTGGGTATTGGCTGATAGTTCCTTTATCCTATTCTGCGTGCAGCACTGGTGCTTAGATGGTGGTACCCAAAGAAACCTCAATATCCTGAACCACCTTGCAGTGCTCTCCGAGCCCGTCTGTAAGCTGCGACCTTCACCGAGCTCCAGGTGGAAAGCAAGACCTCTCAACACTAAAGTACTGTGGCATCTCCTCCTTTCTCATGGCCCCAGGGCACCTCTTTTCTCCCGATAAAGCAATCTGAGCCCCGGGAGCAGTGTTGCTGGAAAGTCCCGTTATTTCGGATCAGCTCTGTGCCCACACGTGGCGTGTCCACCAGTTCCGTTCGGCATCAGGCGCTGCTCCTGGTTTGAATTCCCTTGCAAAGAGCTGTAGCGCTTGCGTAAAGTTTAATTCCTCCATTCTAAAATAAAACTGGGTCCGCACAACACCGTTCTCAGAGCCGGTGAGATAAACAAGGATTATTCGCATCCTGGAAAGTGTGTCCAGTCACAGCACACCACTTTTTGTGGGGCCTCCTGTTTATTTGCCGTGCGGCGTGGTATCACACCGCAGGTGAGCCCGGAGGTCCCCGCTGCTGTCCCGTGGCGCTTACATCGCCTGCAGCCGGGCTCCGAGCTCCAACCGCTCTGGGCAGTGGGATATTGCTGCCGGGTTTAAACAGCGATGCTCGGATGGAACGTGCCTCTCAGATGGTACCTGGGAATACTGTTCTGCTGCTGGTTTTGCCGCATCCTTCGTTACCTTCCCTGCAGCCATTTCGTGGCTGATTTCATTCGCAGGCAGTGAAAACCGTTTGCAAATCAAAACAAAATCCTTTTCTTTGATGAAAATTCTGCTTTTGAATCCAAAAGCTGCAAAGTTTAGTTCGGGAAATGTTAAGGGGAGATGTTGCAGTGTTCCAGAGACAGGATCGTTCCCATAGGAAATGTTGAAATGAAATGTTGATTTTAAAAGAATATTTCACCTAATGTTTAAGTTGTTGGCTAAAATTACTTGTCAAGTTTGACTTGAATATGTGAGTTTTCCAGGTCTTCAAATAGAAGGAGGTAACTAGAAGATGGCATTTTGCATCTGCTGTCCGCTTCCACAGAGAAGAGGTACCAGCGTGTGCTCTTCAAACGTTTCCCGTTAGAAATCAGGAGGAAATTGTTGGCTGTGCGGGTGGTGAGCCCCTGGGGCAGGTTGCCCCGAGAAGCTGTGGCTGCCCCATCCCTGGAGGTGTTCAAGGCCAGGTTGGACGGGGCTTGGAGCAACCTGGGCTGGTGGGAGGTGGCCCTGCCCACGGTTGGGGGGTGGCACTGGATGGTCTTCAAGGTCCCTTCCAACCCAAACCATTCTGTGAAACAGAAAAGGGCCTGATAGCTGCTCAGTGCTTTTTATTCCTTGGTAGCATCCTCACCCTCAAGACAGCAGGAGAAGGACCCGAGAGCAGCCTGTGGCACCAGACCAACGGGGGCTCAGAGACGTCAGGTACGGCGGGGACGGGGAGGGCAGCGCGGCTCAACCAGGGTTCGTGGTGGGTTCGGTGGTGGTGGTGGCCCTGGTGTTGGTGCACAGCAACGTGTTGTACACACCTCTGTTAAAAAAAACCAAAACAACAGAACAAACTTATATTTGATGTTTTCAACAACAAAATGTTGTTAATGTTCACAACAAAGTATAGTTTAGCAAGAATAGCTCAGCTGGGATGCTCTGCCTGTTACAAATGCCTCCGCTTTGCGGGCTTCACTTTGTTGCCTCAAAGCGGTGTAAGAAACACGGTCAAGTGCTTGAAAATTGATGCAAAGTGTGAAACGAATGAAGCCCAACCCATTCACCTTTCACAAAAGCTCCTCTGGTGCAAACAGGCTGCCCCCGCTTTCCAAACCCATCATTTCCTCGCCCCTTCCCGTGCGCTGGAGAGGGGACGCTGGTGGCTGCGAGCCCCACCGTAGGACCATGAGGGCTTCCAGCCTTTGCGGGGTGGCACCATCCCTTTCTCTTGCTCTGGGTCCCCACCTGCTGGAGACACCATGCTGGCTTGTTGGGTGCTTGCACGCCTCTGCGCAGCACCGTGGGCGTGCGGGGTCCTGTCGACTCGGGAGCTCGGAGGTATTTCCCTGCGGCGAGCGCTGCGGCACGCCGTGCACGAGGTGCTTTTGCCGCGCAGACGTGGCTGATGGCCCCGTCTCCTCTCCCTCCCTGGGGTCCTCCCTGGGTGCACCCCCAGTTGGAGTTGATCCAGGGGGATGAGGGGTGGGTTGGTGGACGCCAACGGGTCTCCTTTGGGGACCAACATCCCCGGTGGGCTGCGGGCCCGTCCTCAGCTGCTCCCCTCCTGCCCTGGCCCCTTTCCTCACCCTTGGCTCCTGTTCCAGCTCCTGCCTTTGGGGCTGGTTCCCGCCTTGCACCGTGCTGCCCTACAGCCCCACGGGGTGGAAGAGCCAGGGGACGCCCGCGGAGCCGCAGGAGGGAGCCTGGGAGCAGCGCGGGGGCCTGAACCCCTCTGTCCAGGCAGAGCTTTGAACCCTCCCCAGGGGGAGCTGGATGGGAATTGGACAGTCGGGTGCTGCCGACACCTTGGAAGACCTCACGTTCATTCAAAATGAAACCAAAACAGCCCTTCCAGAGGAGCAGCCAGATGTTTAGTGAGATATTTGTGCGTGCTAGGGAAACCCTGATGGGCAAATGCTGCCTGGGCAGATACTGGCCGTGTCGCCCTGTGCCCACCCCTCTTTGCTCCCTCCCGTTGCTCCTTCTGGTTGGGGCGATGTTGGGCTGCTCCGTTCCCCTCCCGGCTCGCTGCGGTTCTCACTGCGTCCTCGCCGTGGTGCGGCGCCCAGAGCTGCCGTAAGATTTCCTCCTGTTTGCACGGTGTAACTAACGGCCGGGCTGAGCCCTGTTCCGCATGTGCTAACTCACGAATTCCAGCTAAACCTTTGGGAATCACCTTCCTTTTCCCACTCTCCTGCCCTTTCTCGCTCCTGCAGCGATGGGCAGAAGGGGCAGCTTTGCCGTTAACCGCCGCAGTGGGATTCATCCAGCTTTTGGCTTTGCCCTGCGGCAGCTTTTCCTCCCTGTGCCTCAGTTCTCCGTCCATCCCACCCTTCTTTCCACCCTCCCCAGCCTGTCCCAGAGCCATGCCGGAGCCCGAGCCCCCAAAAATGAGGGTTTTATTCTCAAGGCAATGGTCATTTCTTGTGAACAGAGAGTCCCCACTGCAGCTGGGGCACAGCACGCATCCGTACCTGCATCAGCGGAGAAGAAAAGCCAAAAAGCAGCAGGTTTTAAAAATGACAAATGCTCTTTATTGGACCATACAGTGCAGTAGGTCTGAGGGTGAAGAGGCTGTAGCCATGAGGAGGAGGAGTTAGAAATCAGCGTGGCAATTCATATACACAGAAAGCAAAAACCTTTCCCACAGGTGCCTGAGAAAACAGAAGGGGCTGGAAAAAAAATATCTTTAGTTGCAGACAAAACATTTTGGAGGTTGTAACACGTGGCAGAGGCTTTTAGAGCATCTTGGAGCTATTTTCACTGCTGAGGACCCGGGACTGTGGTTTCACAAGGCTGTCACCCTTGTTTTAGGACGAGTGAAGGGAATGTGCGTGGCCGAGCGCGGCTGTCCCCGTTCAGCAAAGTGCCTCCACTTCGCTTTAAACGCGTGACCTCAGGGGGAGAAGAAGGGAAGAACGAGGCCCGTGCTGAAAGGGCCACCACCGGGGTCCACGACGGCTCTCCAAAGCCCTGTCGGTGACCTGTTACAACCTATGCTTTAGCCAAAGGTGCTCCGGATTCTCGCGGTGGGGTCCTGGTCTCCCCCCGCTGCCCCAAATGTGGAGGGGTGAAGGACGGAGGAAGGAGAGGGTCTAGCGCAGCTATTTACACCATTGATTTCGTAGGGCAGCACTTGCTTTCGCCGTCATCCGCGCGGGGGGGCCGGTGCTCTCCATCCTTATCTGATGGTCTTTTTGCTAGTGGTGGTCTTGGAAACGATCCTCACGCTGCCTCCCGTGCTGGAGCTGACACCTCGGCTGCTCCCGGAGCTGAAGG